GGACGTGGCACTTAGTGCCATGGTCTGGTTGATATGGTGGTGTTAGGGCAAAGGTTGGACTTGATGATCCCAGAGGGCTCTTCCAACCAAATTGATTCTGTGATCCTGTGATTCTGCGATTCTGTGATTCTGTGATTCAGGATAAGAAGGCAGACAAAGCCTTCCTTAAACAACTCAAGAAAGTTTCTAGATCATGTCCTGGTCCTTAGAGAGGACTAGTGGAGATGCTATCCCCTCCCATGACACAATTGTAACTAGAGTGGCCACAATTATTTTGGAAAACCGTATTTCCCCTTCCTCTACGAAAACATGCATCCGTAAGAGAGGAAGAGAGGGGCAGGCAGTGCAAGTTTAGAAGGCAGACGGTAATTTAGTATTACCTTAAGTGTTGCAAACACTATTCACAGCTGTGGCCTGTTCCATTGTGGTTTTTTCCCCAGACATTGTACAAAAACTTTCTCATGCAGCAGATCCAAAATATTCATGGATAGACAAGTGAAAAAGCTCCCAAAAGTACAGATCCAGGACCAAGGAAAGCAGACGAAACTACAGATTCCTCTTCATACTACACTACACCTAGCAATCTGAATAAAAAACAACTGCAAGTGCATTTAAGCTTTGTGGACTGTGAAATAACAGTACATTGTTATTCCACCTAGAAGTCTTGTGATCCATTTTAAACACTATTTGCAACTCTAAGCTTCTCTCTGCAAGCATAAAAAATTCAGGAGGAATTCTGTTTTTCACTATCTATTCTGTTGGTGTTTATCAGCATGATTTATTGTGCCAATACCACTGTTACTTGCTGGCTTGCTAAATATTCAGAGGAGAAACAAAAAACCACTCAGGAATTAAGAGTATGTATACGGAAAAATTAATTTAGATTATCCCAGACAAAGCTGGCAAAAACCCTCCCAGGAGTGTCAATGAATACACAAAATATTTGGTAGTATGAGAACAAAAACCTCCTTCAAATGACAGCATTTGCAAGTTCAAGATAAGCAATTTCACTAGCTCTACTACCATGAAGTAAACTGATTTTAACACAATGATGATCAATGGAGATTCACTTGGTACCTTTTCTTCATAAACGCAAAGAATAGAGGTTTCCATCAAACAGAGCAATTTACAGCATTTGGGGAGGCAGAGCATCAGCCTGTATCAGTAACTGGCTATACAACGTCTTCAATCGTCTCAAAGATGACAGATTGGCCTTAACATTCAAACGCAGGGCCAAAGAGTCGTATTTTTTTGCCTTCAGAATTCACTTAAATTTTCAGAGACTTGAAAACAAATTCTTGGGGGGTGGGGGGAGGACAGTAAGCGTTTGGGGCTTTTTTGACTTTAAGTTCCAGGAACCGCTTCTTCAGCCCCCTTTTTCCATTCAAACTACGAACACTGCTTTGGAGGGCCTTCTTGATATGATATTCTCTTCTTGGTATATTCAAATAGCTTGTCTGAATGAAGATAGGTTTCACACTTGGCAAGAAATTAGCTTACACCACCCAGATGTATTAAGAACATTAAAAAATTAAGTCTTTAAAACACAAGACTTTAGCAACTTAGGACACATCTCCAATCACATCTATTACTAATGTGCCATATCTATCCTAGTGACACATATTATCCAAAACTGTATTTGGCACATCACTTCATCACCTGTTTGTTCTCTAAGAAAATACAAAAACATTTAAGTGTCTACAAGTATCAAATGCTATCTTTCTTGTCAGGCCTTACCAACTTTCAACATCACAATTTTGAAGTTGATCCTTCCCAACTGTTAATCTACCTCAATATAATGAAAAGTGTTTTTTCCACAAGCGGGGAAAAAACCACAAGCATCACATACTAGTATTTATTTGCTACTGACACACTACCAGGGCTATACAGAGAATTACAGGTTCCTTTAATCAGGAGAGAAACAAACCAATTTCATTTTGAACTTGATCCAATACATGCTTTGGTCCAATGTTCTTTCTCACCATCCTGGCAGTCTCTACTGTTCCCAAATACTTTCAGGAGAGCAGAGTCACATGTGTTTTTGTATTTTGGAGAGAGAAACTCTCTCTGGTTACACGAACAGTCAACTATGGTATGAAGTAGATCAGAGTAATGACCTACTGTCACCATTTAAGGCTGGGCCGGCGCTTAAAGCAGGTGGCCGATGCTCTTTGTTAACCCCGTCCTTTCCCAGAGGGGGAAGGAGAGGAGAAAAAGGAGAGAGGCCAATGGATTGGGAAGTTAAAACAACTTCAATAAAACGATAACAATGAAAAAATAGTATAAATAATATTAATACTAATACTACTAATAACAGAAATAGAAATACACAAAACCAATGCTGAGCTTCCCAATGACGACCACGTGAGTGGTGGCTCGCAGTGCTCATGTGGCAGGACGGGCATCCGGATGTCCCGGACTGGACTCCGCAGCCGACAGGAACCGGATTCAGGGATGCATGGATCAGGGTTGGAGGCAGGAGAGCGAGCAAAGTCCCAAGGGGATGCCGACCATGAAGGAAAGAGGGCTGACCCTCGTGATCCCTGAGCTTTATATTGAGTATCCACGTGTAGGGGATGGAATACTGCATTGGTCAGTCCTTGGTCACCTGTCCTGTCCGCAGCTCCCTGCAGGTGTGACCTTTTTGGCCTCCCCACCAGCGGACCACAGGAGAGCCCACCGTGACTCTGGTTCCCACAGGAACAAGCACACACACGGGCCTTTCTGCAGGACAATGCCACTCCTACTCCCGCAACAACTACAGACCTCAAGCACCATCAACTCTAAAAGCAGGCACTGCTGAAAAGCACGTAGGCAGCTTCAGAGAGTGCAGTTACTTAGAAGAAACTTAACTGAAGGAAAATCTACTGAAAAGGGAACTCGTCCTGTTTTAGCCAAACCAGAACACCTACTACGGAGTAAAGAGAGCAATGATCTCCAGGCTTCTGTGGGGTTAGCCCTCTTCTCGGTAAAATGGGAGATGCAGTTTGAAATTCCTCCAGGTAAAGGTGGGGAGAAGTGGTCCAAGCAGGAGTCTAACCATTTAGCTACTAGAAACAAGAAACCTCACAGCTCTATGAAAAAGAACGAATTTAATTAGCTCTAAAAGCAATCTTTCAAGCGTTGTAATTGAAGTGAATTTATTTCAGAGCAAACTAAGACTCACAATTTTAAGACAAATGCTTTCTAGGCAAGTGAACCTACAGCAGCCAGCAGAACAGCTAAGCTCTGTGCTGGCTGCTTCTAGGAAGGAAACTAGGGAAACAGCAGGGAGGAAAATAAACTCACGAGAGGTATCCTCCAGGGTAAGGTTGTAACACAAGGTGGCCAAGAAATTGTTCCAGCGTAGCCACTGACTATGCGTGGTTCCTTTGTTAGATTATAACATCACTTAAAAATAGCTACTAATGCTATGTAGGCACTATGTGAACCACACATCTGTCTTCATCTAGTTATTTTTTGTCCGACAATACGTGTCTGCACATGCACATGCCATCTACGCAAAACCAATCAGCTAAGCATTGAATCCTTGCCAGTATTACTGTTTTGGCTGGTGGTTATACTGACCTGTAATCACTCTACAACTTTCAGTGAGTATGAGAAGACTACATATGATTGACAGAATAGTGCACTTTGCTTGACACTGAATATGGCTTAAAGGCCCAGCAACATTTGTTACAGGATTAACATTAATCATAATCCCAAAATAACTCAGGGATCCTAATGATGGCTTAGGCAATTGCATGCAAAAGCTGCAAATGCTAATGTAGTCTAAGCCACAGGAAAACAAAAAAGTCAAACCATCAAACCAGATGGAAAACCAAAATCCATCACATTATAAGTCACCACTTAGCAAAAAGAAATTACAGGAGGAATACTGAGATTATCACACATTGAGATCAGAGGATTTGTGTGGCTAAAATATAGATATTGTGAGCAAAAGTCAAAAGGGATTTACTCCATATTTATCAAGGATGTTTAATCTCCATTCTTAACTTTCTACAGATGAAGAGGGGCAGGGGGGGAACAGAGGAGGAACATTGTCGAGAGTCCTCATGCAAATTATTTGTACTTTTACTTCCCACCTACTTCAAACTAACACTTAAAAATATTCCATGTATGTTGCAACACTTTATAGATGTTTGCTGGATGCGATTTCACATTTTTAAGAGACTTAATAGCTCAGGACTGGTAACACAGTTCAGGTACATTTCATTTGTAAACTAGCCACTCGGTCCAGTGATAAAAAAACTGTTCCCTGGCTACTGTGAAAAAAAAAAAAAGGAACCTCTGTATCCCTCCAAGTAAGCAGATTTTTCTATCACACCACCTGTTGTTTAAATTACTACTTAAGATCCTAACAGCAAGAAAAGGATCTTAGATAAGCAACACAATGTCTTTATGCTTTTGCAAAATACCAAGTACAAAACTGAATGCATGCTCAAGAACCTGACACCCTAATGGATTACTAACGGCCACAACAGTTAACAAGCACCAACTTCAAAGTCAAATCACTGATGCGTAGAAGTGTGATAGAAGCTCTTCCTTCTATATACTGGTAAACTAGTTTGACAGAAATCACCTACCCCCAAGACTCACATACTTCTGAAGAGCAGGGTTCTTGGCCAATTTTTTACCATAAGACTTAGAAGGGGTATGTTTTAAAAAGACATTCCTGCCTATGGATAGCCTGTTCCACGCTGCATAACATTGATGAACACCAGTTGTCTACTGTAAGACCTACAGGGTACAGCTTCATACCTTATGAAAAGCAAGTATATAAAAACTATTACTCTATCAAGTACTCTCATAGTTTACAGATCTAGAAAATAATCATCCCCCTTAAACTGTGACCTCGCTTTAATGAAAGCAGGTACTATTTTAAATGTCCTGCTAGAATGCTTTGCATCAGGAGTTTTAACAGTTATCTCCCTTGTTCACCTAAAGCAATTTAGATTTAGTCAAACTGATTAGAGTCTTTCCCAAAAAAGTTCACTTACCATCCAGAAAAGGGTTCCAGAGGCAAATTCAGAATAATGTTCTATAGTAGACAGTACACTGAATATTAAACAAATCAGCACCAGGAGAAATCTGTAAAAAGAAAACATTATTTAGTGATTCATCAAGTTGAACTCTAAATCTAGACCTAGTCTTAGCTCTCTCATTCACACAACTTTTCTTATCACAAGTACTTTCTGTTTAATCAGTTAATTCTTCCTAGTTAAGTGAATATCATCATTTTGCATTCAATAACTTTTAAGAAACATGGAATAAAAATGAAAGGAAGGCTGAACACAGTTAAATCAATAGGCAAAACTCACATTATCAAGTATAATTTCCCACAGAAGCTTGTCATAGCGATTGTTTCATGTTTCACTGCTTGCTATATAACTTATGTGCTGCAGTAGAAAGGTATCGTGATTGATAATGCATTAATTAAAGTAGAATTAGACATACGACTGGAGTGAGGAACAGTAACTTCAATGAAAAATGTTCCATTAAATGCATTCCGTAAGTTCAAAACATACACACATACTGAAGAAACAGCTACTACCACAGTATTTCTAGTATCACCATTCAGATCAAGAAAAAAATTCAGAAGTCGCAGAATATATACTCCTGCCCTCAAAAACAGTTTAAAAAAGCAAAATCGAAAACTCATAAGAATTGGAAAACAAAATGTGTAATTGAATTTTAGTCGATCAGACTCTTAAATGCTGGCAGAATACACATTACTTTGATGCATACAATGTCTCGGCCATCTTTCCACCACTGGTAACATGTTAAACTTTTAAACAACTGGTGAAAATTAATGATGTATGAAGAACGCTGATGGACAGACCAGAAAGACAGACTTCTGCTATGTTTGCCCCACAGTTTTCACCATCTCTTAAGGTCATGCAGAAAACAAGAGAAAAGTAAGACAACTGGAATTTCTCCCACTAACAGCCAGAAACATTCCCTCTTGTGTACCAGCTCTTCCAGCTGTAATTTCCTCTGATTCCATGCCAAGAGCTTGTGTCTGAACTCCTAAACTCCCAAAGCAGCAATTAAAACCTTAACAGTCCTGCATATGATGAGACATTTTCCCAACGAGAAACCCTTCTGAAGAAGATAAACACTACTGCCAAGGCTAGTTCAAGAACTTCAAAGCAAATGACAGACTAACAGCCCTGGTGACTGGACTATTAAAATTGTGAGATGTCAGCAAACAGAAATCAACACACTAACTACACTTAGTGTGCTTTTAGTAGCTTTTATATGGAAAATATAGGAGGAAGAGCTTATGAGGAAGGGGGAAAATTCATGTTCAACCTAGAGACAAATTCCTTAGGAGTGTACGCAGGGACTTGCCCTGGTCAACATTTTCATCCGTGTTCCAGAAGAGATGAAATGCACCTCATCGAGTCCACACATGACACCAAACTAGGGGTTCAGTCAATAAACCTGAGGGCAGAATCACTGGTTAGAGGTGCCTGGACAGGCTAAGGAACAAACCTACAGGAATCTCATAAAACTCAATATGAACAAATGTCAAGTCCTGCACATAATACAGTGCAGGCCCAAACCCACATCGGATGAAGACTCTCTTTATCTTGGGCTGCATCCCCTTTAACCCTGCCAGCTTGTGAAGGGCAGTGAAGGGCATGGCTCTCTTTTGATGGACTACACCTGGGGTGGTGCACACAGATGGGGCCCCAAGATACAGCACAGAGGTGACAAACCGGAAGGAGCTTGGCAGAGGGCAAAAGCAGCAAGAGGACAACCCTGACCCAGCATGAGCAGGGACAGATGCCACCACCCTAACGGCGGGTGAAACCCTGTCCCTACTGCTCCCCATGTTTCCCACTTGCCTCAAAGTCCTGAACATCTTGCAGTCACCTCATTTGTTCCCATCACCTCCTTCTGCCCGTGGGGATTGTCATTTTGTAAAACATTGTACACCACTTGTTCACAGCCTGCCCTGTGACTGGCTGATAAGACCAGCTGCCTCTTCCTGTCTACGTCAAAAAGGCGTCAGAGCGGGACACTCCTGCCTATGACATACCCAGAGAACCACGTTTTTTATGTCATACCCCACATTTTCATACTATCTATGACTGGATGGTTGCCATTTTTTCGAAACCGTCATACCCACATGATCTCAGACCAGCCTCTGACGGGCTGCTCATTTCCTTTGGACCAGGAACTGCTCATATAATATACATTTTTGTATAGACATAAGTTTCTATATATAGGAATGGATATATATAATACATAGACTATATAGACTATAGACTATACAATTGTGGTGGGTTCACCTTGGCCGGCTGCCAGATGCCCACGCAGCCACTCTCTCACATATTAAAAAGTAGAAGAGCTATAGGATACAAATACAGAATTTCTAAAATAGTAGCAAATGTAAGTGTACTGTCATCAAGTGTTTGTAACTGCAAAGCTCGAGGAATGTTAATTACAATCTAGGATTTATTTCTTTGAACCCCAGTCAGAGAGGCATAATGCAAATTTGAAATAATATGGTAAATCTATGCTGGTGGAAGTCACTGTACTTGTCCATAGTACCTAGTGGGGATTACTGAAGAAATCTTTACGCCAATACCAACTACACCAGCACCATGATGGAACCATCCATGTTCAGGTTTTTCATATAGCATAAATGAAATATAATTGTGTTAATACAGCTCAATATCTGAACTAATTACTAGGTCTCAGGGAACACTTTATGATTTGATCTGGCGCAATGCTCTGCTAATTGGGCTATACTACTTTTTAGTCCCAAACTAGTCCCTGTGTACAGTATCTAACATTTCCATGCATAGGTACACTAACTCAGCTGCTATTAACTCAGATTTTTCAGTGCTGCACTCTACTGTATAGTGCTGAAACTCCCTCTTTCATCTCTATAAATACCAGGACTTTTCACTTACTTTTCTGTTCTCTAAATTCTCAGCAGAACACATAAGGAAGGCCACACAATTAACACAGTATACTTTGTAAACTCAGAAGGAAAAGGGAGTTGAAAATTATCAGAATAGGAGCTTTAATATCTAAAGTCAAAGGGAAAGCATGATGCAAAAGAAACTGAAGCAAACAAGCTTCTTATCAAAAAGGTTAGGGTTTTTTTTTAAAAAAAGGATAAGATCCCCATCTTTTTTATGTGATTGTTTCTTGAAACCAACATAGAGTCCAAATTCAGCATAAGACCCTTCTTAATAAACCTGGAGAATCAGTCATTACACGAAGCAAAACTATACACTTTTGCAGACTAAAGACTATGAGTGAGTCTTTAGTTCAACAATATCAAGCAGTTAAGCTAGCACATTTATATGTAAGGTTTCAGTGTTTCCCACGCCATTCAAGCATGGCGAGCAGGTTGAGGGAAGTGAGCCCTCTCCTCTGCTCAGCACCAGTGAGGCTGTGCTGGGAGGGCTGGGACCCACTTTGGGCTTCCCAGTGACTACAGGCAGGGACACCAGGGAGCAACTCTGGCAGAGGGTCCCCAGGATGGGGCCAGGCTTGGGGCACACCACCTGCATGGGAAGGCCAACAGCACCTCCCATGACACAGGAGCAGCCTTTCTCACTGGCAAGGAAAATGGCCCACAGGAACAGTCCCAAGGAGAGCAGCCCTCAGCCCAGCAGCCCCAGCAGCCCCTTCCATAGTGGGGCAACCTCCACTCCACAGTCACTCTTTGGGTAGAACCAGGTATGTCCCTCCCCTCGGCATGGGGACCAAGCCATGCATGAAACTGTAATGGCCTCCTGGTGTCACCAGCCACCTCACTGAAGCCATTTCCAGACCGTTACAAGAAGGGCCTCCAGCAGTGGTGGGAGACCGCCACAGGAATCTTAGGGTCCCTTCCTGCTCAGCAAGGGTTTCTGGCAGCTATGAGTCAGCTGGGGTGACTGTGGGAGAGGAGAAAGGACACACAGAGGAGGAGGAGCAAGGCTGGGAAAAACACAAGGGACAAACCAACTTGCCTCTTCCAGCCCTGCAGCCCATCCAAGACAACTCATCCCAAGACAAGCTGATGGCTTTGGATGGGTTGGAGGGGTAGCCACCACCACCACGTGCCACCATGGCTGAGGTCCCCCCAAGAAGAGGAAGCAACGGATGACCCTGCAAGATGGCCATCAACTCTCCTCGCCACCAGCTTGGGCTCAGCTCCCTCAGGAAGCCCACCATGGCTCAGTCAATGCCTACCCACAAGGCTGAGCAAACTGCGCAGCAGTGGCAAAAGCCCTCCGATGGCTCTTGTCCACTGCCAGAACTGGGACAGGGATGTCACCTGGATGACAGCTATTGCTTCTACTCCTCTTGCATCCCTTTAGGAGTCATTCAGGAAGGACAATGCACCTAACAGAGGCCTTGGACATTCACTGGAAACCACGATCATCTCACCTGACTTGCCTTCCCCACCACCTCTAGCTAATTTCTCCATTTACCTCCATCACTTAATGACAACTCCATTTCTTTAGTGTCCTCCCCCTGCATAGGTTTCTGACACCTATTTGCACTTTAAAAAGTTCTCTACCAACTATTTACTGTTACAGGATAATTACTCTGTAGTTACTGAAGAGTTAGCCAAAGTACACATACTTTATAGTTACTGTTTTCTATAAAGCGGAAAACCAAATCTGCACAGGAGAATTCTGTGTGATGCTCATCTCAGGAATTTGTGTGATTAGATTCTGTTCTTAGGTTATTTTTAGCTGTTTCTGTCAGCTAAAGGTGTGAAAGTTATTTATTTGAACTCTTAGTCTCCCTTCAAACCTTGTTTAAGTGATGGGTAGCAAATGGTACATCTCTTATACGCTGAAACTGTAGCTACCTTGGTGAGAGAGTTTACGCTGGCAGCCCAGGCACTTCATGTGCAAGTTTAGATACTACAGAAACAATTAAGGCTGTGGGCATTTTGTAAATCAGTACTGTGAAACAGGAGGGAAAAAGATCATCTAGATAGATCTATTTTTAAAATTCTTTTGGTGATGAGCTTGCAAAGATAATGACTCCTCTCTGTTTATGCTGAACGGTGAGCTCTGTTGGGATAATAATGGCTATCCACCGCTACGTATTCTGTGTCAGGTGTT